ACGTATATACGAAATTTTTCATTATAAAGCAATATAAGCTTTTGGCAGTTCAAGGTATTCTATAATAAAAAATGACGACCCCGTAGCTAAGTGACTAATCGACTCATATAGGTCGCAAAATCCTCACGCAACAAGAAGTGATTGTATGGCATTCTAAAATTGTGTCGAGCTTGAATGTGTGTCTTTGTGCAATTTATATATGAAAACCGCCTCTTTGATTGCCTTTTGATCTTTGTTTCCTAATGAACAAGAAAGGAAAGAATCTGTGAATAGCAAAATAAATATTTCACGTAACGTACGTTTTACAAAAGAGAATTTATGATGTAGAAATGCTAGCGGCAAATAAACTCACACGTACAACTGATGATAAATAGTTCATGGTGCTTATGAACATCTGCAACCAACCTCAAACAAAAAGGACACAGATGCGCTGTCATCACATGCAGCTTCTAACTACACCAGCTGTCCAGACTTTTAAAACCGTAAAGCAGCAGTGTCGTCTAACTTGCCACCTTACGGCCTAGTATAATTTAGTCTTTAAGGCTATTGATAATACACTTGCGATCTGCCCCTGCTTTGCCTGTATTAATGTGCTGTAATTTGAATTTATGATAATCAAATACCATTTGTTTTAGAATTTTACCTTTAAAAAAGCTTGTTAAGTTTTTCAGTTAAATCTAGTCTAGATCCCTCCTGGTGTTGTTGTCCGTTCGTGAAGTTCCATCACAATCATTTAGCCACTCCAAAGATTATATAATTTAATATGTATAATAATATATTTGATACGGACAACACTAATCCATTACAAAATTTAATATTTACGTTACACCTTGAATATTAATTGTTATTATTGGATAATTAATCAAATTATTAAATATTATTATTTAGATATTAATAAATTTGACCACCTACTAAACATTACACTAAATGCACAAATATTACAAATAATTTTGATGAGGTTATTTTGCGACCCAAAAACAGAACTTCTAAATCGCGCGATACGGTGAAGATCAGCGCATCCAAACCAGAAACGGGCCTCTGCGAACATCTGGGACGCACTATAGTGTCGTGACTGACGGAACAACACGCGGAACGAATCATTATACTGCACCTTCAGCCTGCGATATTCTTCTTTAGTGTAATTCGTCCACAGCTGAGGAGTGTAAAGTGGCTGACAGTAAGCTGAAAACAACGCCAGTTTGGAGGCATAGGAAAACTTTCAGTTAGCCCGGACAAACAGAGAGAGACAGACAAATATTCTAGAAATGGTTATTAACGTATAAATAACCTCCTGAGCTTCATAGAAACCAGTTATTTTAATATTACAGACGGACACTTCAATTTTATTTATACGTACCTATCTTTTATCATCTTCACTGAAGATTTCATATGTTTGTTTCAGGTTTACTTATGCCAGAGGATTCTTTCGGTTGAATTATAATATAAGACACAACTACATAGAATAAGTTTTATTAAATTATCCTCAAAATTGTAAATTGTTAATTAATTTGTAATTATATAATTAAATTAATATTTTTGGTACGAACTGTGTTGTGTTGTTTAGGTCACCTTATTATAAACAAATTAAACAAAACTTTCATTATTCCTCAATACTTTCAAAACAGTATAGAGTGTTATAATGAACCCTTCATCAATTGTATAGACTAATTTCACTGAGAAATTTTGAATGTGTAAAAGTGGATGTTGGGATATCTCAATTATACATCCACTGAAGTTTATTAAAGTCACGTCACGACACGTCAGAACATAAGCCTTCCCCATAGACCACATACCTTATAGAGGGGATTTTGTTGCAGCTGCTACGCTAGGCAGGTGAAAGGGCAACCGCAGTTTATAATATTTTTTTTATAGGATAGGGTGACAAACGAGCACACAGGCCACCTGACGGTGAGTGGTTGCTGTGGCCCAAAGACATTCATATCTATCCACAAATACGAATCAAAAGACAGATGCGTTGTCACCCGTGAGGACTAAGATGGAACGCCTCGTTTCCAGCAAAACTGGTCTCGGGTTCTTTACACTCACCATAGGAACCGCAGCAGCGTTAAGCTACTATTATAGCTGATATTCTGTGAGAGGGTGGTCCTTCCCCTGTCGAGCCGACCCATTCGTGCTACAACTATACTACTAATATATCTCTCTCTACGCACTGTTTATTTATTTACGCTCGATATCTGTTTGATATTATTAGACTTCGACATCATTTGACCGATAACCTTGAAACCGCACCGTGCTTCATTTCACAGATTTTTATATGTCGCAACCGCATCGCCTACGCGGCGCGCCACCACCGTAAAGCCTTGTGTCTCATGGCTGTAATCATAGAATACTATAATACTCACATGATAGAACGGGGGAGTAGGCGGCGCCCGTGTAGCCACTAACATGTCAATTCACACCTATAAACGTCAATACAATCAATCGTTTTCAATTTTCGTGTCAAGCGTCACTGCATGCAAATTATTTAAAAGATGGCAAATTATGCAATAATTATGTGTCGTAAGAACAGCGGGAAATGTAATTTAAATAAAGGAGGCATATTCAACAACCAGTAAGTCGAAATTTTTATTTTTATTTTGAAAATATTAGAAACAAAAATTAGGAAATATTGATGTGCCAAAAACATTACCTAATCAAAAGTCTAAAATGTGTAAATTCGCTCAGTCAACAAAACAGCGATTCGGGTTTGTAGTAGTGATAATACGGCGTAATTTCTTGTATATGTGCTCCCGGTGACAACGATACTCATACAAAATAAGGTTGACAGCCATTCTATTTGTTGTGTATTACAGTATTCTATGGCTGTAATGGTAAGCCAATAATGGCAAATATTCTTACGCTCGCTAGATGTCACTAGTTGGTACTAAGGTCAACTTATTTGTAACGCAGGTGGTAACACAGTGTCATCATCATTGAAAAGTTCCGTTTTCATTAAAAGATTTTCGGTTTACACTCGTATTACACAAAACAATATCTCAGTGCTATATTCTTCAAATTTTTACACATTTTTATTTAATTCTTCTACTTTTGTCAATATTCGTAGTTTGATTTATCCATTTTTAATCTAATTAATATAAAATGCAACTAATATTTAAAAATAAACATGAATGTCTACACTTTTCTAGCAAATTATCTTCCCCCGCTATTAAAACTGTATATTACACTTCATTCCAAAGTGACGCTGCCTTGATGGCAGAAAAAGTCGTGGATGCCCCCATTAATTAATGGACATGTTAGTTGAAAAGCATAAAAACAAAGACTTTAAATTTTTTTTGGAACGAACAAAAAAAGGTGAATCCTAAGCCGAGTATCCTTGTGAGTACAGGATATTACTAAACATTTGTGATACCTATGCTTAGACTCACGGTCTCATTTATAATATAAAAAAGTGAAGTATTATTATTTCGAGCTGGATCAAAAATTGAAACGATTTCACCTGTTAAGTTAAGGAACGTACAGTTAGTATCAATTTAGGTATCTTGGTCACGTTTTAACTGAGGATGTGACAGATGATGCGGACATAGAAAGAGAAAGAAGGGCATTGGCGGTTCTCTGTAACATGCTGTCCCGTAGCTTTTCACGCTGTACAGAAGAAGTTAAGATAGCACTTTTCAAAGCCTTTTGCCAGTCATTTTACACGTGCAGTCTATGGGTTAAGTACACGCAGAGAGCCTACAATGCCCTTCGGGTACAATATAATAATGCCTTCAGGATGCTGATGGGATTTCCGCGGTATTGTAGTGCTTCAGGGATGTTTACATCGTACAGTACGGACGGTTTTCATGCCATTATTCGAAAGTGAATAGCATCCCTCATGCGCAGGGTTCGTGGGAGCTCGAATATCATTCTGAGGGCAATATCTGATAGATTTGATATGTCCCATCCTAGGGCACTGGATGCGCATGCACTTGCATGTGCCTGGTGTCAAAAATAAAAAATAGTTGTTATGAAAATTGTGCGTGTATAATTTAAGACTAACATAGGTTAAGCTAATTTTTACTAACATAATTAGGACTATATGTGGTCTGAAATAAATTAAATTATTATTAAATTAACAAGTCGTATAATATATAATATAATAGCGACTACGGTATTTGCCGATGTTTACGAGGGAGATTGTAAACGAGATTGTTGAGCCATGAGATCTTTCTGGTATTTGGCAGAAAGACCTCATGGCTCAACCATCTCGTTTAATCGACGCAAAATACCGAGATCTACAAAGTGAAGCTGTCTCAAAAGCACCTACGTTTTTTTATATAATAAGGGTCACAAACAATCACACAGTCCACCTGATGGTCACTAAATGCTGTGGCCCATAGGCATCTACATTTAGCCCCGATTAAGAATCAAAATACTGATGCGTTGTCACCCCTGAGGACTAAGATGGAATGCCTCTTTTCCAGTACAAAAGGGTATCCGGATCTCTACACTCACCATACGAAATACAGCAGTATTAAGCTGCTATTTTACGCTAGTATTCTGTGAGAGCGTGGTCCTACATGGAGTCCAGTACTGCGAACGCCTATCCACCCATTGACTAGCGACGAATCCAAATCATTACATGGGTTCATTCTCTTAACATCAAATATTTCAAGGAACAATTCATGCAAATAATCGCGTGAGCTCGTAAAAGACAGTTATTTTGATGTTACCGATTAGATACCTCTATTTTATTTATATGTTTATAATAAAGTGTTTACATATCTTATAATATAAGTATAATAAAGTATGTCTTTATTCCTCACATTAAATCCTCTATAAATATTTTAAGAATATGAAATAAATAACACTGTTTGGAATTGTCAAAAATGTCACTACACCATGCACTCAATCGGGAAGTGTTTCATTTTTTTAAAAACCTACGTAAAATCTTTTGGCAAAGTGCATTAGTTATGATACCTTATCAATTTCAAATTTACGCGAGTGTGTCGTTTTTTTTACTCTGCAAAATCCTTTGTTTCGGAGCAAGCTTTTATTCAATGTTGGAGAAGAGACGTCACACATTAATGAGTATTCCCGAAAAGAACGAAAGTGACGGAGATGCTGTATACAAATGGGTCCCTAAGAAGAAACACGAAGTCTTAAAGGCAAAATATAAATGCTTGAAGAAGCTCTTTCAGATTTATGATGCTAGTGTTATAGGTATCCTTCCTGACCCTTACGCAGTGCCTGAAAATATAGTGCGTGACGAAAGAAAGCATTCGAGAAGGAGGCGCTCGCGTAGGACAAAAACTGACGCATCTGCGGGAACCAACGAAGTTTCTAGTGGTGATGTCCCTCCACCTTCTATTAATGAGAAACGCTCAATAGCTACTGCGGTGATTCGGGACTTGAAACTTCAGTATACGACATCAGTTACGGAAACGAACACCAAATCCGTTACCAAGCTACATGATAAATTTACTCAGGAATCGAAAGAAAATTTTTCTATGACAACTAGCGAAAAGGAGTGTGAATGCACACAAACCGCAGATCTTCCGAAAATGCCTTATTTGATGGCAAAACAAAGGCAACCAAAACCTACTCGTTTCCAAATGTTCCTCCAACGTATTCTTGGTATAAGACGCGAGACGCCCAATTACGTTCCGGTCACCCAGTCACATGTCTATGCGGCCAGCGACAATAACATTCAGAATCGGTACGAAAAGCGACGAAGACATGGCCTCCGGTTCCGACGGGTTCGGAGTGGAAAGAAAGTTCGCTCAGAGACCACGCTCAAGAATGGACAAAGTCCGATGATTCTAACGTACGTACAATCCGTACAGAGAAATTGTTTAATGGATACCACGCCTCGACAATGTCCCTTTGTCGGGTGCAGAATGATTTTTTATGGTGCGTGCTTTTCATAAATTCAGTTTTTTTTAATAATCTTAGAATAACAAAAGTGTTAACAGCTTACCTGATGTAAAAGGTTTCAAAGCTTAGAGCATCTTTCTTATATAATCTGCCTCCACTACTTAGGGACAGAAATAATAATGTAGTTATTTTTTATTTACGATTCTCCAGAATTTGCTTTTATTGACTTATAAAAAAGCAGGAGAATAGAAAACTTGAAAACCTTAATCATTTTTTTACATCTAAAGTCCGAGATTCCAGCGCGGTGTTATAACGCCCATCTGTGTTTAAATGGAGATATTTATAAACGATTGAATACGTTAATACCAAGTTGCCTACCAAAATAGGGCCTCAAGTAGTTAAAAAAATAGTTAATGTATTTCATTGAACACTCACTTTTGACATTAATTTCGTAAACTTATTATTTAGAAAAAAATATTCATATTATTAAAGAAAAATATGTAAGAAGAATTTGCAGGGTTTGAGTTACCACTTTAAATTCGGCCGCATACCTCTAGGCAATCTGGTATAACAAACAAGGTAAAGGTAGGCCAACAATAATATAAATCATAACAATGTCCTCCAGGCCAAATTTCGGTCACAGTGGCCAGTCTCTATGAAGACTAGCCATCTGGCACAGGACCAACAGCTTCACGTGCTTTCCGGACACACGGGCGAAGCACAGACAACTAGTTGTAGAAAAAATTTCTTGACAGAAAACCCTCATATTTGCTATGGCCCGACCGGGATCCGAACCCGTGACCTCATAATCAGCAGGCGCGCTTACAATCACTAAGCCAACATGGCCGTCAAAAGAGTGATGATGATGATGATTTTTGATTAGTTTTTAACAACGTATGCATAAAAAATATATTGTTGACAGGAATTATTAACTACAACGACCATTTGAACCTATGCCACTTCACTGACCGTAAATTCATTTGCCATTATTGCCACGAAGGCTTTTTGAGCAAGGACGATAAATTGTTGCACGAAAATGAGCATATTGGCATACCAAAACTAAAGACAGAATTAACATTGACTCCGTCAACTGACCGGCAATCGTCCAAGGTGGCCAGCCTTACCCAAACTGACCCCGAACCTAAGCTTGACGTCAGTGAAGATAAACTAAAGAAGATTGTGTCTTTTTTTGATAAAATTGACGACCCCTTGGAAATAATATCCGAAATCAATAAGAGTCGACATTCTGCTTCCAACTTGAACATAACACGTCAGTCTTCTAAAACTAATACAACAATTTCCGAGGTCAGAAAAGAAAAAGGAAACTCCAGCTGCATGCACTTACAAACAGCTGAGAGAAAGTCTATTTCATATGCTGATTTCGATGTGCAGTCCAATCATTCGCAGACATCGTCGTTCAAATGTGAAATATGTGGAGAGAATTTTGATCGCAGGTAATATAATTATATATTAATCGTTAGAAAAACACCTAATAAGAGTACTTTTAATAGATCAGTACGTGAATACTTTTTAATGACATCCGACGTTAGTATGGTCAATGTTATCATTTGGTTACATTTGTTGTAGGTTTATCTTTTACACACGTTTCACTATTATAATCCATCATTTCCACGCGTCCCGGGTTGATTGAGAGTTAATGCCAAAGGGAATATAATATATATAATAATTTTTGTGATTTCTCAAATTCTACCAAGCCGAATTACTTCGAATTGGCATGAAATCTAATGGCAAAAGAACTCTTTCGAATGCCGTGCCGATCCGCGTATCGATCGGTCAAATCGTTCAAAAGTTATAAGAAGTTTACTTACATACACAAATACGAAGGGTCATCCTCGTAGGAATAGTCATAATGGCTTCCTAGGACTCCAAAACGTGAAGATCTGATGAGACCGCAATTTTCGAAAACCGAGGTAAAACCGATAACTTATCGATTATTTGAAAATCGTTGATTTTCATAGCGGGAAGTTATCATGCTACTAATCCATTCTTCTCTTAGAGTATATATAAGCAAGCTTTGCTTAAGTATACTCTAAGATTCTTTTGCTTTATTAGCCTTCAGAAGAAACAGCTGGGCAATATTTATTTAAGAATGCGCCAAATGAAGCATTTCTTCTTTTCAATTTACTTGACCTTTTTTGATAGTCTTCTGCCACAACCGTGTGGTAGCGGTGTCAGTATATCCACTAGCCAATATCGTCTTGTGGTTGACGTAAGGTGCGACAGGGGGAAACTGAACCACATATAGATGAGCAACAGAATATTCCTGATAACAGCTGAGTAAAAAAACTGCTGTTGCGAACCCGCAACGTTCGTCATCGCGGCAACTATGGCAAAATCCTCTATTAAGCAATCTATCTGGGAGGCCTATGTTCAGCAGTGGACCTCTATAGGTTATAATAAATGAATGGATGGAATTTATTTGAATAAAAAAGTCGTCCCGTGATTGACGTGACAGGCGACTATGGCGAATGCCAAACATAATATGTATGTTCCAAAATAGAACCCAGTGTATTATCCAATGCAAATGACGTCATAAATCGACGCCATACTGGTGATTCGTTCCAAAACATAGGGCAGTATATGACGTCATACATTTGCCCTATATTGGAAAAGTGTTGGCGATTATTTTGTCACTTTGTGCTCTAAAAATCATTATATCCTCCTAATGGAGATACCAGCAATTATTCTATAATTTTTTGTATTCGAATAAATAAAAAGAAATTCTGGCATGCTTCATTCAGCGTTCATACAATTTAAAAATTGTTTTAATATGGCCGGATATCCGACACAATATGTACGACATAATATACACAATATGGCGACGGCACGCCGGTAAAATATGGCGTCAATTGATGACGTCATTTGTATTCGGGCAGTAAACGTTTGGAACATACCCCTTATGTGTTCTGACAGATGGCGGCATAACTATCTCGTTTACGCCATACGTAAATTACTCAGACCGGCGACGGGCGGCAAAGCGTATATTACGCAAGGGTTCCATATCCTACCGTGGACTTACGTGGAATATTTGCATGGTATTAAGAAATAATTAACCATAATTGAATTTTTTATCTATCCGTCTGGGTCAAACTTCACATCACATCACCAAATGAACCTTAAAACGTGCACTAAAACTGCGCTTTTGATAAGTGTCGCTTACTAGTTATTCAAAGTATTATGTCCTCCTAAACCAACATTTAAAGCCAAGCTTTTTCAGGCATCGTTTGAATCTCCACGTGGATGTAGAACATCGGGGCCGCAATAAAAACTCAAAATTTCAAGGCCGCGATCAAGATGAGATCTCAGAAGACGACGACCTTCGCAGTCAGTGTAGCAGCAACAGCAATGACCACAGCTTTGCGACTGTTCATACAGTCAACACGTCGTCCACCCTCAGCCAGTCTACATCCGGTGATAAGTCAGCTGGAAGCGAGAGTTGTGATCCCACAACAAACATTGTTTACTATTCTTCATTAGAGGCATTTAAAAAGCCATCGGCGATGGACAGTTTGGTCAAAAGAGTACGAACAGGTTTCAGAAGTTACAAATGGGAGCCGGGAAGCAGGGCCGTACACAGCTAATTTGTTTGTGTTGTGAAGTGGCATTTTTTGTTTTGATATAAAATCTAAATAGAAAACCCATTGCTGTTATTATTTATTCCGAAACCGGCTTTAATTATAACAAGCCGAAAACTATCTTGATCCAAAACGTTTACGAAATGTTAGTTTTAGAGATTGATCAGTTTTATGTTCTTGTTTGTTTTTATAAATTAAAAAATAGTAACAATGTCGGCAGACGGACACAAAATACCGTTTAGAATATAGTGTATAAGAAGGTTCAAAATAATGTTTAGGAAATTTATAATTTTCCTAGGAAATGTGTCTAATATAATTAACATCACACATTTCCGGGTGATTTTAGGAATTATATACAATTCCTAGGAATTGTATACAATGACGGATTGCATACATTTCCTGTAACATACATACAGAGCGTGCCAAAAAAATAGTGTAGTGGTGAATAAAAATGTCGATTAGTATGGATTTGATCATGCGATCGTGTTGGATTTTTAGACTTGCAACTAGGGTTGCCGGGTCTTAAAACCGAAAAGCTGGAGATACCAGCGAGCTTAGCCGGACATTTTGGTAAAATGGCCGGACGCCCTTAATTTTTATTCTTAATAAAACGATAATTTGTTTAAGGTAAAACAAAGTTTTTTATTATTTACCATAAAATGTTTTTAAATTCTAATGAAATAACAACAATTGAATAAATCACTTTTCTTCAATATTAATCCTTCAATATTCATTACAATATCATTTTCAATAATTGCTATAGTATAAAAATGTAAAGTAATGGTCAAATTTAAAAAGCCTAACAAAAGTACTACAGGCTGGATACCGTCTAATTTATCCGGACACGCAACCAAAAAGCCTGACTGTCCGACTTTATCCGGACGCCTGGCAACACTCCTTGCAACGAATATTGTCTGGGCCTGATTTAACCTCCGGCTAACTAGGCTGGAGCCTACGGTGCAAGGTCCTAGGGGGCGTTGAGCTTGCCTTAGCAGCACTTATGTACAGAATAAAATTATGTATAATATTTTCAATAAATAATATAGTAATTGCCGTAAGTATTTCACTTGTTGCACTTTCTTTATTTTTCGTTCAAAATAAACAAGATTGTTAAAACAAGAATTCGAATTATTTGGTACCTTTCATCTTTTGATAACTGACTGGACGTGACTCAAAGATTTTAAACTGCTCAAGCTCTTTTCTTAATCTCTAATTTTATTAAAGTGCTTTCCCAAGTCTGTCCAAGGGAACTAGGATAACGACTCACTGACCCATGCTGCAAGGAAAAGTCCATCTTTTCGGTTCTCTTTTTGAGTCCAACTCTACTCTCGATTACGGAGGTATACAAGAAGAAAAAGAAGAAAGAAAGAAAGAAAAATATTTATTCTTGACACACACAAGGCACCAGAACACAGAAACAAAGTCAAAACAAAAAAGAAGTAACAATTTATGAACAAACAAACAGCCAGTTAAAATTAGGAAAAAAAATTATAATAATATATTCTTAAAATGAGTGCCTCAGGGTGATGCCAAAAGATAGAAAATTATATATAAGATATCCAACCTTACATCATGCTGAATTGGTTCCTAACCTCACCTAACCTAACGCTGACTTTCTATTGGCCCCCTGGATTGCATTCGTCTTCACCTCTAAAACCAGTTACCGTGTACTTCCGCAAGAACAATCAGTATACGTGAACTCTATGAAAAAACATATATAATTACTTATATAATAAATGATTAATAAAATATGTATATAATATATGACAGGATACTAATTAAATACTTTATTATTAGCAAGATACTGCGCGTTAAACTGTAACAACATAACAACATCAGCAAAAAATAAAAAATATAATAAATTAAAATAAAATATAGAACATAAAATGTACCTATCAAATAAACATCAGATATAGGACATGTTAGCATTAGTGTTAACCATGCCTAAGTCTTTTTGTGCATTTAACAAGTACTGTTTTAGGTGACTTTTAAAGGTAGTTATAGAGCTTAGCTGCCTTAGAGATGGTGGTATGTTATTCCATACTTTCGAGGCTGCATAGCGAAATGCTCCCTTGAAAGATGCCGATTTGTGCTTTTGTACCGAAAGTTGCTGCGAGCACTGTCTTCTATCACATTGCCTCCTTGTACAATGCCAAGAATCCCGCAGTGTGATTGCTCCACGCTGGATGTGCGGTTTATTTACACAAAGATCAGTGTGCAAAGCACTCTTCTCCCTGGACGTCAACATTACGAGTGGGCCTGATGGAGTCCTATTGTGCTGAAGACGGGTGCTCCGGAGTTAGCGCCGGTTCTAACGCATATTTTCCGGAACTCCACTCCCTAGGCGTATTCTTGAGCTTATGAAAGGTGACCGCTCAGACCCATCCAACTATAGGTTTATCACCATTGCCTATATGTTCTCCAAAATAATGGAATCCATTATAAGCTGTCAGCTCACAAGGCACCTTGAGGACCACCAGCTGATTAGTGACCGCATTGGCGGGGACTGATCAGCTGGTTCTAGCAATAAACTTCTAATTTACCTAACTCATAGATGAGCGACAGCGGTAGCGGTAGAATCCAAGAGGGAGGCCTTGGTCGTTACTTTGGACATAGCGAAGGACTTCGATAGTCTTTAGCACAAAACGCTTCTTTAGAAGCTTTCTTCCTATGGGTTTCCCGAGAAATTGTGCAATTGGATCATAAATTTTCTTGAGGATCGTAGCATCAAGGTGGTACGTGCTCCAACTACTAGCCAATTAATGCTAGTGTTCTACAACGCTGCGTGCTATCACCTACGCTATTTTTACTGTAAATTAATTATATGTTGCTATTACTGGTGGTAACACTAGTGATTCTTTTTTCGCCGGCCGTGCTAATTGGAAACACGTCATCAAGTATCGCAACAAACTTGTGTCTGAAGTAGAATCTTTAATAAATAAAATCTTGGATTGGGGGAGACTCTAGTCCAGGTTAAACTTCAGAAAGCTCAAGTTTGCGCATTTACCGCTAAAAAAAACCTCTCTGTCGTATCTCCTCAATTTTAGGGCACGCACCATGCTGCCTCAACCAGCATTGGAATTCTCGGTATTGACATATCAAATGACATACAGTTCGGCGGTCACTTGGAAGGGAAGGCTAAATTAGCCTATATAAACCTTGGCGCACTCAGCAGATCGAAACAGTAATTCATGCCGGCACACCGTTTGCAACTTTACAAGACGCAAGTTCACCCTCACATGGAGTACCGTTCTCATCTCTAGATCGTAGCACTTCAGTGCCTGCTCCTCCCATTTGACCACATCCAGCAAAGAGTGGCTCGAATCGTCGACGACCGAGTCCTTTCTAATCGGCTCGATTACTGGCGCTACGAAGAGATTTTGTAATCCATTTCATTTTCTATCACATTTTCTACGGAGAGTACTTACACAAATTGTTCAGATTAATTCCAGCTGCCAAGTTCCACCAACGCACATCGGGACAAAAGTTACCATCCACACTATCTGACTGCATGGCGATCCACCATGACTGAGTGGTTTACTAGGAGTTATCTTAGTCGCAATGGGCCGGCCATGTAGCTAGAAAAACCGACAACTGATGGAGAAAATAGGTTCTCGAGTGGCAACCGCGTACCGGTAGGTGTAGTGTAGGGCGACCCTCTACTAGATGGAGTGACGACCTGGTAAGACTTGCAGGAAGTAGTAGTAGAAGTAGATGGATGCAGGTGGCTCAGGACCGTGCTTTAGGGCATTCCTTGGAGGATGTTCAGCAGTGGACTTGTGAAGGGCTGTAATGATGAAAAGCGAATATACCTTATTAGTTTAACAGAGTCCCTCTGACAATATACCTTATTAGTTTAACAGAGTGACCCTTATCACTAACACCTATTTCCAATAGATCGTTGTAGGTTCTATTGGAATGCTAAACTTTGGGAAAATTCTCGTAGAAATTGATGTAAACGCAACTTCCCTTAGGGTTGCCATCTCTTTTTTTTTGAGTAATGAGTAAATATAGTATATACTTTTCTAAGCTCAAAGACTCAAAGATAAAGTGTTATTAATTTGACATGCTATTTTGTACACACAACATCTTTAAATTCTATATATGTATATGTTACGATTATAATCTGTTCCTTTCATGCTATCACCTAGTATTCATCAAAGAATAAACTCAATAAATAACGCTAAAGTGAGGAAATGAATAGCAGACATGACAAACAACATTGTATATTCCTCTATATAAGGCGAGAGCCGTGGTAGCTCAGATGGTTAACGCTCGCTGTAAATATAACAGAACGCGAGTGAACCCGGGTTCGATCCCCGCCGGCACCAATGAAATTGTTAATTGCCATTTTAAGTGCTGATTTACCATGTGCTCGGCGGTGAAGGAAAACTTCTTGAGGAAACCTGCATGTCTGAGGAATAAGAAAAAAAATATTTCGAAGATATGTGAAGTTCACCAACACGCATTGGGGCAGCGTGGCGGACACTTCCTTGCCCTAAAACCCTCTCAGAAATGAGGGGAGGCCTGTGCCCAGCAATGGGACGTATATAGGCTGTAACTGTACTGTACTGTATATCTATATAAGCCTCTTCCCCTCCGACCTTCGTAAAGCTTAAACGTGTCTAAGGCGAATGCTACACGCGTGATATTTATCGCGATCTCGAATGACGTATCGCGATCCATATCGACACACCATAGACGTTCATTACGGATCACGTCAGTGTTGGGCACAAAACTGTTAAGTGCAGACATATCTAAAATGGACCGAAATGAAGAAAGAGCTTGTGTGGCTATCGTTATGGCAATAATATTAAAAAGGAGAGTGAAAAGGAGAATCTGGGCTAAACAGTGGTACCGGCTTGAAGGAAAATATACCTTTTTAAATTTATTAGATGAGATTAGACTTACTCGAGAAATGGATAACTACAAAAATTATTTTCGCATGAGTGAAAAACTGGTTACTTCTTTTTTTAATTAAACAGGATACAGAAATGAGACAAGCT